ACCGATTCTCTATTTATTATCCATTTATTTGGCAAATAATATGGCAAAACTAAGAGAGTTTTTCCTTGGAACAAGCAAATTAATCTTGTTTTTCCTTTTAAAAAATAAATTAATCCACCTCCTCTATTGGCAGATTATTTTTCTTGTTTTAAGGATGAACTCTCTCAATTTTGACTCATTATTTCTGAAAACTAGACTATATTTTCTGCTCATTCAGAAAATGCTGGCTGATTTAAGAGTTTTTGGACATTTGGATCAGTAACGAGAGTAAGAACAGCAGTGTTTGCAGTGCAGACAGACAGACGGACACTGGTGCACCTCTGAAGGCGGCTCTGCGCTGTGATCCCTCGATAAGGCCAAATCCTGCAGTTCAGGTTCTGTTCTTTCTTCAGGTGGAACCGTCCCACTGATCTCACTGTCCTGAAACACACACACACACACACACACACACACACAGTCATCCAGCAGGCACTATACAGCAGGGCTTCTCAAAGTTTAAATCCGGACCGTGAGGGCATTCAATCCGGACCAGACTCCATTCCATACTGCAAGAAGTTTGTGTTAAGGATTCAGGTTGTGGATTTCCTTCATTGATAAACGCACACATCTTGTAAACCGTCAGTTTATTTGTTTGTATTTTTGTTTAAAATAATACGAGCTGAAATATAATCAAAGGCAGAATATTCAAAGTTTTCTGTTGGCTTCATGTGATCGAGCGGCTGATCATGCACGCCTGCTTTAGCGCACCGCAGTGAAGCGATCATTTGAATGGATGAAGATGTCGATCTCACAGAAAACTCGATGAAGAGAATGGACAGTTCAGAGTTGAGTGGACTCATTCGTTTATTTTGCCAGCATGAAGCCATTTGTTGTTGTTTTTTCCGAACTTTTGCCAGTTTGTGAATTTTTTTCCCTCTCCACTGTCGCCTCTAGCTTGCATGGTTTGGGATTGGTAGAGCTTCACATCGATGAATTTGCCCTCCAGTGTTCAGACCAGGGGCCTCATGTACGAAGACTTGCGTGGAAATCATACTAAAACATTGCGTATGCACAAAGCTGTAAATGTGCTACGCAGAAAATAATTCAGATGTATGAAACACTGCGTACACCGAATCTCACGCATATTCTGTTTGTACATCTGAATGAACGTGAAACTGAGCGCAACATGCACAACACAAAACCCCTCCCTGCCTCCGCCCCCGTATGAATATGCTAATGACTCTACTTTGGCAAAACCCAACGAAAAAGCAACGGCAAAAGCAAACAAGAAGAGAAACTTTGAACAGAATGTGAATTGGAGGTGCTGCTTTCAGAGGTAGACCAGAGAAAAGCGGTGTTATTTGCAAGTTTGTTCTCTGGAATTAACAACAAAAGAAAAAAATAGAGTGGGAGAGTTCAGCTGATGCGGTTAACACAGTTAAATCTGAAAATCGCACTGAGTGGATTAAAAAAGAAATCGTGAGATCTATAGGTGTAAAATTTTATAGTGTTTTTAACAGCTTAAGTGGTGCAGCTCGCTAAACCCATGGCAACATGTTTCCATACGTTCAAGTATGAACTCGGTTCGAATCCAGCGGCTGATGAACTTATTCTTATTCTTTTTTCCCCGCTACATATCAGATGTTGCCTATATACTCTTTATCATGAGGAAAACAAGTAGGAATCATTAATAAGTGTGTGCATCAAATTTAATTTGTATATTTATTGAATGGAAATGTTTCTGATTCACGTATGCCAGTTCATCCTCAGCTCATGGTGCCTTTATAGAAATGTGTGTGCGCAAGTTTGCTCCGATTACATTGGGAAAGCCGGCGACCGCTGCAAATTGCGCTTTAATGTTTGGATGGTCAACTGCATGGTACGGAAACCTTATATACTAGACATGCGGATGGACCCATCTCATACAGCTGAGAAGACACTTTGTAGAGTGCAATTCAACACAACTGCCTCTAGGAGTCGCCAATGGAAATAAAACAGACACGCAAAAAAAATGTGCGTATGCCAGCCATGAAGCTGCCGTGAAGCTGCGCACATTCCCACGTAAAGTTCATTGTTAGTATGCAGCGTTGATACATGAGGCCCCAGGTGTGGGCAAACTTGATCCTGGAGGGCCGGTGTCCTGCATAGTTTAGCTCCAACCCTGTTCAAACAGACCCCTCTATAATGTTCAAGTGATCTTGAAGACACTGATTAGTTTGTTCAGGTGTGTTTGACTAGTGTTGGAACAAAACTCTGCAGGGACAGCGGCCCTCGAGGATCAAGTTTCCCCATCCCTGGTCTAGACCCTCAGTAGGGATTATCAAACCACACCTGAACTGAACTGAACTGAACTTAAACACTGATATCTGAACTACACTGTTCCAGTTACTATGATCATTTTTGTGAAGCTGCTTTGACACAATCTACACTGTAAAAGCGCTGTGCAAATAAAGCTGAATTGAACTGAATTCTGCTTGACTTGTAATGAGGCAATTGGAGCTGTAAAGAGTGGAAATGTGAAACGCCACTATGAATCGAAACACGGATACAGATGCAGATATAACGAGCGCGAAACACCTACAGCTTTCATTACACACCTTTTGTATTTATCATCTTATTTTGGAGAGGGTCTGGATGCAGACCTGGGGGCTGTTTCATAAAAGTGGTTGAGAAAAGCGGGGAATAAAGTTAAATCCTGACTTCAATGAGCCGAACTAAACCTCCACGCTTGACTGGTTTCATAACAGGAAGTTGAAGATCATTCGATCTGACTAATCTGAGTTCAGTTGAAGTAATCTAGATAACGGCTCGTGCACGTTACTGCCGTCAAACCCTGAAGGTCGAGCAGATGCATCGATTATGTTGTGTGCTACCGTGGCAACTACGAGAACTGAAATGAGACGCCGCTGTTCACAGCGAGTGAACCGCTCAGACATATAATAATGTAAACATCATAATCGAAATCTACAGTACAGCTCACAACAAAGCAAGAGAGAAGACTGACAGGAAATTGCAGATTTGAGAATATTATTTAAGCCTATTACAGTTTTTTACAATTGCTATGACACTTTTATCAATACATTTAACAAGTTTCCTAAACTCTTAACACGGTTAGCACAACATCCGTCTTCGTGGGCTATACAATTAACACATTTCTTGTTGTTTTGACACAAAATGCATCCAGTTAACACAAATTTAAAATGCTTTAACTTCTTTTACACACAAGCACAACCAAGAACAAAACAATGTCATTTTACAGTCAAATTTACAAATGCTTTAACACAGTATGTCAGAACAGATAACACCATGTTCTAAACAGAAATTATATAGGATAAAGTCAAAGTGAACAGCTGTTCTAATTGTGAATTGAAACACAAATTTATTCCCTGTATTTTATTCAATTGCCAATGAGAAACATCATATTGCGGTTATATAAATAAATAAATAAATGTGTGTATGTATATATATATATATATATATATATATATATATATATATATATATATATATATATATATATATATATATATATATATATATATATATATATATATATATATATATATATAT